CGTGACGGAGTGCTGCCGCCTGCCCCCGGTGCACTAGCTGTAAAGGCAGCAATCCTGCGTAATAACAGATAGCAGGGAGACTTTAAACCTTGGAGCCCGCGGGGAAGGTCACCTCCAGCAGCTTCCCAGCAAAGTGCATCCTTGTGTCCCCAGACTGAACCGGGGCCGTTGTCTTTCTAGCTATGACATGGTGCACTATGGCCACTCGAACCAGCTACGCCAGGCTCGAGCCATGGGAGATTATCTGATTGTTGGAGTCCACACAGATGGTAAGAGGTTTTCTCAGCTTTTCACCTCGTGCTGCCTCTAGAATCGCCCAGCAGTGTTGGCCCCGAGAGAACAGAGATCTCCTCATACGAATCAGGCTTCTTCCTGCATGTCCTCAAGGAGCAGCAGCCTCCAAAAGAAAAGCGTATCTTCCCTGGGTAAGGGAGTGGAGTTACCCCTTTCGCACTTTGCGGAGTGAGGATTTGGTAGTTCAGAGCTTGCAGGCTTCGTTTGAGGGGTGATCTGTATTCTGTGCTGTAAAAACAATGGAACCACTTGAAAATCTGTCTGTTTTTGCTGGTGCAAACTGCAGAACTGATATTCCAAAACAAATTACTGTGTGGAGAAAACTTGTTTCAAGTCCATCTGGAAGTTAAGTGCTAGGAACTAGTTCTTGCATGTGAAGGTGGATTTTAAATTGGTCTGTGGATGCATGTTTTCTAGCATGAACCAAAGGTAGCATGAAGCTATTGTTTAATAGGGGAATTTCCCCTCGGGGGCTGCCAGAAGGCCCAGGTAGTCCCCCCAGTAGGAAGTATCTGGGTACAGGGAGGCACTGAGACCTTTTGTCTTCCCAGTGAATTCCAGGGCCCTTGTTACACACTGAGGAAATGCAATGGAATTGAAATCTTTTCTGATCTAGCTGGGACTTCCTTCTCTATCACAAACCAATTCCAAGCTCAGTATAAGCCTGCAGTGCAGTTCACCTACCCTTGAAATGAGAGAGGGTCCTGTACGTGAGAGTCTCTGTAGCTGTAGTATATGCTTCTAACTGGGTTTTTCTGTTTCTCACCCAGAGGAGATTGCCAAGCACAAGGGCCCCCCTGTCTTTACACAGGAGGAGAGGTACAAAATGGTGCAAGCCATCAAGTGGGTGGATGAAATTGCTCCAGGAGCTCCCTATGTCACCACACTGGAAACCCTGGACAAATATAACTGTGACTTCTGTGTACATGGTGGTGAGTGGTATTCTGAGGTGATAGTTCTATTAACACAGGCGCTCTGGGGCTTGCAAGCTCTTGGTTTCCCTGCTGCAAACTGAGAGACATTCTGGCTAGTGCTGACTGTCGAGGGATATCTCATGTGTACAGAGGTCTGCCTTACCAACACCTGCGCAGGGCAGTATGGCTACTCCTGTTCTGGTATTCTGGAGAAATATGTCTGTGTGCTAGGCACCCTCAGAGTGGCCAGATCCCTTGGTTTTAAGCATCCCGTTCACTTACACTTGAAACATGTTGTCTGACAATTATCGTGAGGTTGCCCTTAGTACCAGCAGAAATTTGGGCACAGGGGAAAGTAATTTACAAAACTTAAATGTGAAAAATGGTGTTAAAAAGGTGAGTGTGCTGAAATACAATCATGTTTATATCTACTTATCCTGGGATGAGATCAGATCTGAAAAGCTTCTCTCTCCTTATCCAGCTGATAAGCTGTTCAGGGGCTTAGCTGACCGTGAGGTCAGAGACCTAGTTCTTGTTATGAACACTTTTCAGTTTAGTCACTGAAGAGAACCAGTGTTCTGAAGAAACATTCTTGCTTTTGTACTCTGTCCCTTCCTAGGACTGCTGGTAGTGTTCATTCAGCCTCAGTCCCTCCCTACCCCTCTGAAGCTGTTTCGTTAATCAGGAGTAGTCTTTGCACTCATTTCTGATATCCTTCCTCGTCTGATCTCAGCCACCTGGTATCAATAAGCCAAGTATTTTGTTAAATGTAAATAAATCATTAATCTTCTATAAGATAGATATGCTTTTTCATGTCGACAGGGTGAAAATCCCTTGTTAACTTAATTGCCTGTCCTGAATGTGTTTGGGGTACGTGACCCTTTACTAGACTTGGCGAGGGATTATGGCAACAGAGAAGTGCTCGTGGCCTTTGCTCCAGTTGCCCTGCGGTTATTCCCTCTGCCAAATCATTCAGTACTTCTACCTGAATAATACCCTTGCATGCTGCAGTTTTGCCAGGTTGTGTTTATGCAAAAGATAAGTTTTGAAATAGCTGAACTTAACTTGGAAGGTGACGGACAGCAAATGCAGTGTTTCTGCCTCTCTCCTGGCACACAGAGCTGTGCCTGCAGTATATTCTCTTCTCCTGTCCCATGGCCTGAGGTGAGGGTGTGGGGTTTGAGAAGAACTCCTCTGCGTCCCTGAGCCTGCCACCCGACTGTGTGAGAGAGAGCACTTGTCACCTGCCAGCGCCTGCATTGCAAACTGGCTGTTTTGCCAAGAGCCAGCTTAAGTTTTCACTTGTGAAGATTTTGTATTATCACTAAAAGTAGGTAAGGGGTGTTTTTGTAGAGTGAGTTGGGAGCCATGCCGAAGATGAACTGGAATTAACTCTACAGAAGGGTAGCTTGGTGTCACTGTAGAAGTGCCATCACTGAGAGGAAGAACTGGCTGTTGGAAGACTGTTTAATTGACTGTAAAAGTTGTAACATGAACCAATGGCTAAAACCGGTTCTAGAGGAGTTAAGGCTTTTTAACACTGAGACTGACGGTAGATGTTTATTGTCATTCAGACAATAATTCAGTCATGCCAGCTGCTGGATTCACTGCACGGGCAACCAGCTCAGATTTTCTAGACTGTCTAAAAAACAGCGGACCAGATGGCTGATGGTGTTCAGCATCCAGGAATATGCTTGTCTCTGCAGATAGAGTAGTCTTGCAAACCCGTGGTATTTTCATGGGGTGCAGGATGTATCCCCTGTGTTTGCACAGGGATTCGGACTGCAGGAGTTCTAGTCCGGCTTATGTACCAGACCTGTTCAGCTGCTGCTGTCGTCCTAAAACAGCTTTTGTGCAGGAAGGCTTGGGACGCAGTTCTGAGGCTTTTCTCTCTCTGCAGATGACATCACCTTAACAATAGATGGCAAGGATACCTATGAGGAAGTGAAGACCGCAGGGCGATACAGGTAACCTGTTGCTGCTTACCTTCTTATCCTGTTTTGGGCAGAGTTTCTGGGAGTTCGTGCTCTGAAGGGAAGTCAGATGAAATGTAGCTGTCTTAAGGTCACACTTTAATTTTGCTGTAACATGTGTCAGACCTTCAGTTGCTCCCACCATTTTGGCTTCTAGGAAGTGTCGCAGACTAGCAACTGACTGGCAGGAGCTTCCTGTTTCTGGCAGATGCTAGTTCTGATCATGAAGCCTCACTGGGATTTAGCTCTTTTGGGAAGTCTCTGCAAGGTAAGTTTTCCTCATATGAGCGGTTGCTGTGGCATGAAGATAATGCAGAGGCTCAGTAAATGGGTGATATACTTCATGTCAAGAGCAGGTAGAAGGAAGGCTTTCTTAGGACAGCTCCTGGTTTGGATTTACCAGATGTCCCTGTGGTAATGGTGGGAGGAGAAAGAGGTATATGCTCCTGTGGCTTCTGCTTCATCCTTTGCTTGTCTCCCTGCAGGGAATGCAAACGCACCCAAGGTGTGTCCACTACTGACCTCGTTGGCCGCATGCTGCTCATGACTAAGGCTCACCACAGCAACATAGTGAGTCAGAGGGCTTTGGGTGGGCATTTGGGGTCCAGGGCATACGCCAGCTCTTTCCTTTTGCTGTCCCAAATGGCAGTAGAGTTCCTGGGTCTGGCTCCTAGGTGCACGGAGAACTGGCAAGCTGATTATGGGCAGTGCCAGCAAAACAACCTGCTTGTGTTTGCTTAAGCCTGTCTGAGATCACCGTGTGATCTCAGCCCATGCTGCTTTGGAGAGGTGTGGGGGGTAAAAGCTTCAATCCCTCGAGATTGGTGTGGGCCTCAGGAACGTTGTGGGAACTACAGGCTTAGCTTATGGCTTCTCTGAGGGTGAGACTACATAGTGCAGCCACATTGATCTAACAGCCCAGTGCTGCCGGAATTGGAAAGTCCTCTTCCTTCCCACTGAGCTGCATGCTTCTGCCTTCTGCTGTCTCTAGTCTTATCAGACCTTTCTTGAGTCTCCTCAGCTCACTACCTGTTAGATAGCTAACCTAACCAAAGGAAAATAAAGTAAGTAGTTTTATGTTGGTTAGTGAGTTGAATTGACTTGGTAAACAAGCAATCCAGTGAATGGAATCGCCTAGATAACAGCAAGGACAAGACAAGGGACCCACAAGAGAATTCGGGGTAGAGGGCGATCTTTTAGTGTGCTGAGCTGTCAGCTTGGCTTAGCCGTAATGTGTAAGTTCACACCAAGATCTGGCACAGCGCTGCTACCTGTCTGCAGAGATCTTGAACCTGTCTGCAGTGGAGTGTCTTTGGAAGAACGAGGGATGCTGTGCTGTAGGGGCTTGCATAATTGAGGGAGGACCTAGGTGTGCAACCTATCAGATCTGCAGGTTGGGCGAGAACCACCTTCACTGTGTGGTGCCAGACTGGGATGAGATGAGGACAGGTTTCCTCTGACTCATGCTGGGACACAGCTCTGGTTTAGATGTTAACTAGTTTGCTGGCGTTCAGTGCCAGGGATCAATGGTGTGCAGTCTGAGCCTGGACTTCCCAGCACATCTGCCACACGCAAACATATTCTTGGTTGGATGAGCTGTGTGAGTGCTTAAACATTTTGACTCTTTATCTCCCTTCAGGATGAGGACCTAGACTATCGGAAGCACACTGACAACTTTGGGAAGGTAATGTGAGTTCTGGTTGGGGACATCCAGTTGTTGTCCTGTCTGAGAAGGATTCCAAATGTGCTTTCTGGCCTCTGTTGCAGGCTTGTTTTCCCCCCCACATTTAGTAGTAACCTCAGTAAGCGTCTGCTGCCCCTATAAAGTAGCTACCATAGTCAGTGAAATAGGCAGGTGTGGCCGCACAGGGCCAGCGAGTGAACTGTCCTTCAGCCATGCCATAGAGCTGCTGCATCCATTGAGCCTTTGCTGTTTTTCTGGCTTGCTTGTAAATTCTTTATTGCCGCTTCCTTTGGGACTCAAGTGCCCGCAATTCCAGCCTAGGGACAGCCTCTGTGGATGCTCGTTTCGGTGCTGATGTTTTTAAAGGTGTTGCATTAGGTCTGGGAAGCGTTTATGTAGCAGGCCTGTAGCTAGCATGCTGTACTGCGGAATTCATGTGTCTGGTCTTCAAGTAGCAGAGCAGTCCTTCTGGGGTTCTCTGCTGTTGTGTTCAGCTTGCGTCTTGGGCTACCTCTAAAAAGTTATCAGTCCCTTTTTTCCCCCCCCGCCCCCGGGTGTTGGATTGTCTCTGATTAATGAGCATGTGGACCTACAGCTTGAGTAAATCTTTTTTTCTCACAGGGGGTTTGCTGACCAGGCTGAGTCATCCTCTTTGTTCTCCACCATGTTGGGTTTTTTTTGGGCAGGCTTTACGGGGCCTGTTGCTCTAGCATGGCTGTTTCTTGGTGCTTGGATCTGGGGTGAATATCTGGGCACCAGGTACCCTGCATGACCCCTGTCAGCTGAGCCCCTCTTCGGCATGCTGCTGTTTGTATGGCTTGCCCTGGTCTCGGCCGAGTTGTCTTCATTCTTTCAAGTCTTGTAGAGCAGCTGTAGCTTTAGGGGAGCGAAGGCGGGTGCCAGAGCGGGTGACTCAGTGGCTGTTCCCAAAACTGCTGCCTGGTGGGGATGCAGCTTTGTCGTCAGTGTCACCGATGCTGGGATCCAGCTCTTGCTGGAGCTATGGGTGACCCCCTGCCAGCTCGGCCTGCCATCGGCCAGGTGCGTGAGTGGGCTGCCTTAAGGCCTGAGAAGAGCGTAGGTAGGTTGTGTGTTGCCTCCCTTAGTAAGCCTTGCCTCTCCTGGAAGTCTGAGACTGCCCTGTTGCCTTCCTCCTTCCTGAGCTTTCTTCTTGGCACATCCTTACCTGGCTGTTGAGGGGATGATTTACACTGTGTTTGACAGGGTAAAAAGGGCTTTTTGTGAGATTGCACAAATGTTTGGTGCCAGGAATGTAGAAAGTCCAAGCTGCTAAGAGTTGTGATACTTGCTAGCAAATTAAGGCTAGCAAATTGCCTGCAGCTGCATTCTGTGTGTTGTCCAAACCCCCTTCTGGAGCCTGAAAAGGAAATGTCTGTGGTGTTTTCCCAGGGGCCAAAAGGTCACAGTCCCTGGACTGGCGTCTCACAGTTCCTACAGACATCTCAGAAGATCATCCAGTTTGCATCAGGGAAGGAACCACAGCCAGGAGACACCATCATCTATGTGGCCGGAGCGTTCGACCTGTTCCGTATCCTTTACTCTGTTTTGTCAAGAAAGTAGCGTTGGTCTTTTTGTTTGATGTTTCCATGTTTTGAGGCACCAGACGAGGATATTTGCCTCTTCTTCCTCCCTGCCCCCCCGCTTCTTTTTTTCTTTTGTGTAGGTGTGCATGTGAGGGAGGACGCAGAAGTTCTTACTGGCAGTTTCTTAGTCACAGGATGCTGAGAAAGGAGCTATAGCTCCACTCTAGAGAGATTTGTGGCTGTTGGAGGATTTCAGGAAGACAGCTGGATACTCTCCACACTCTAGTGACCACACTGTAGTCCCTGTTGAGGACTGGCTGTCATAGACAAAGTGACTGCACAGGGCATCTGGAGCAGACATTTCATCCCTGGCACAGTCCTTGAGGTATTGTGCCAGAACACCCAAAACAGGTAGAAATTCTGGACAGAGGCAAAGTTGAGTCCACGTAAGGTGGAGCTGAAAAGATGTCTGGCTTTTGCCCGGAACCTGTGGAGCCTGAGGAAGAGGGAGGCAACCCTTCTTAGGACATAGGCAACGAGTAATGCAAAAATAAAATCCTTGGGATTTCTGTCACCCGCTGTGGTTTTTCAGTGCCTCTGTTTCTGTCTTCTTTTCCCTATTTTCCCTGTTATCTTCAATTCCTTAAACAGGTCTACAGACATTGGGCACGTAGATTTCCTGGAGAAGGTTCACCAGCTGGCAGAGAAACCTTACATCATTGCTGGGCTGCACTTTGATCAGGTCTGTATATAACATTGTCTGAAGACAGAGCAGCTTGACCCCTGTTATTTCTGAAACAAGCAGGCTGTGCTCTGGAAGACAGGAAAGGGATGTATTGGCCAATACAGGATTTTCATGTTGGGAGAAAGTGAGAGGGAACAGGGTTGCTTTATCTCTCTTCTAATTGTGCCTGGTGCTTTGCCTTAGGAAGTAAATCGCTACAAAGGGAAGAACTATCCCATCATGAACATCCATGAGAGAACACTCAGTGTCTTGGCCTGTAGGGTAAGTGCCTGTTGGGTAGGTGCCTCTGCGCTATTCCAGAAATTGCCTGGAGCTGGGTGGTGTTCACCTGTAGCTAACAATGTTGCACGAGTTCTTTGGTGTGCACTGAGAAGGCAAAGACAAGACACATCACTTCAGGCTGCCAGAGGTGCTGGTGTGCTCTTAGGAGGAATCACTAGGCTCCTCTTGCCTTCCTTGCTAACCTGAGCTATTGAACTCATCCGCCTCTATTCCACTGGCAGTGAAAAGGCTGGATGCCTTGCAGAGTACTGCTCTGCTCTATGCAAAGACAGCCCTGTTCTTGTGGAAAAGTCTCTGCTCCCTGCAACAGGGGAGAAAATTCCTGTGAAATGAATGTGTGGAGGCCCAGAAATGCATGCCCTGAGCAATTAACTTTTGGATTTGCTATATATGTGCTACCAGAAAGCATATTCTTTACTGGAACAAAAAGATGCTGTGTGACAAGAAGTGGCTGCTAAAATCACTTTCCTCTTACTTGAGTTCCTAACTCTGTAACTGGATGACTTGCTTAAGTCTGTTTAGGAAGCAGGCTGGCCTCTATTTTGGTTTTGGTGTTTCATTTTTTGGGGGGGGGTGTTGTTGTTTGGTGTTTTTTTCTTCTCCAATCTGGGCTCTTTACCTGGTTTCTTCTCTAGTATGTCTCGGAAGTGGTGATTGGAGCCCCCTACGCTGTCACTGCTGACCTGCTGGATCACTTCAGGGTGAGAGTCCTTGTGTACAGATGGACATGAAGATGTTGGTGTGTGATGTGCTTAGGGAGCTAAAGTGCTGCTGGAAAACACAGAGGTGTAGTAGAGAGGTGGGCCTGCTTAGCAGGATTACAGGGAGCTCCAGATGCACTGCCAAGCCTGGTACAGGAGAGGGTGGCTTTGCTGATCTCCAGGCTATGCTGCAGAGAGTGCAGTGGCAAGGGAAGTCCCTCTCATCTTTTGGATCTTGTCAGCGACTTTGTGTCCTTCTCCAGGTAACACTTGTGTGTCATGGGATGACCGAGGTGGTGCCAGACAAGGATGGTTCTGATCCGTACGAGGTAAGCTACTAGCTGCTGTTGTCCATACTTCTTTGTCAGCATTTGATAGATACAGCATGGCTTTGTTCATGTTCCTGAGCTGACAATTTGTATTGCAGAGGATGCTACCCAAGCAAGTCCTTGGCAGGTGATGCTGTTTTTCATCCAGCCCTGAGGGTAGCTACTTGGAGCAGAGCCTGTAAATCATTCACAACAGCTCTGTTCTTTTAGTCACTGTTTTGTTTTGCCTGTTTCTGATGCCTTCATGGCAGAGTGAGGAATCCTGTAATCTTTCCTCTATGCCAGTCCTGGGCAGCCTTGCACAGCTCCCACACATATGAATTTTGGCTTTCAGCAGTTACTTATTCTGCCTCCTAGGAAATCATTTTGTGTCGTGCCTGTCTGGGTGCCCGTAGGACCTGCCATGAGTTCTACTCAGCTTTCACTACTGAGCTGTAATCCCAGAGGTTCTGTGTGTTTTTCACAGCCGAGTCTGCTGTGTTTGTTCACAGGAACCGAAGAGACGTGGCATTTTCCAGCTGGTGGACAGTGGCAGCAATCTTACCACAGACTTAATTGTGCAAAGAATCATCAAGAACAGGTTGGCTTTCTTTATTTCCCAGTTCTGTCATATACTATTCCGTCCAGCTTGTCTGAGGACTAATTAATGGGATCAAACAGGAGGAGAAGGGCTTATCTAAAGGCACAAAATCAATCAACTGTGCAGGCTGCTTAAATGTGGATGTACTGGACTGTACAGGAAAAGGAATAGCTAAACTCTACTGTGTCAGAATGTGCTTCACAGCATGTTGTATTATTTTTCTTCCTCCACTATTAATTATAAAATTTCCTTGCTCTATTCTTGAGGAAAGAAGCGTGTTGCTTCTTGCACAGCTTTGTTCGTCACCTTTGGTGACTTTGGCTCAGGTCAGTGGTAATTTGATTTTGGTATTACAGCACTAAGTGGTCTGTCCCAGGACAGACCAAGCATGGAACAGCGGCATCTTCTGCAGAGGGAGAAAGTAGTGTTTGACCAGTGTGGCAGCCTAGGACTAGAAGCTCTGGGTGCTGGCTCTCGAAGAGGAGTCTGGGGGTTACTTGTCAGATTTCTGCAGCATTCTTGGAACAAAGCAGCATAGGAGAAGGCAATGCGCCTGTGCTCCAGCTGCTTTTAGTCTACTAGAGATACGGATGGATGAGAATCTCATGGCATTTTCTGATTGATGCAGGTTGGAGTTTGAAGCTAGGAACCAGAAGAAGGAAGCAAAAGAGCTGGCTGTGTTGGAGGCTATGAAGAGACTGGAAGAGGAGAAACACTAGGCCAGCAGTGAGCTGATGCGTGGGTTGCAGAGCACCGCAGCCTTACCCTCTTGAGGAGCAGACAGCTCTTCCAAGAGGGGACCCCGAACGGGGACACCGCTGCCAGCACGCAGAGTGTTCTGTCCTACCCTCCTCTCCTAGCTCCTCCTGCACTAATTATGCAGACATAACGAGTTGGGATCCCGCTGCCTAGTTTTTGCTCCGTTAATCAGCTCCCGTCCCCTTTCCCAGGAGGAGATTTGACGACAAAAAAAAGTTTTAATTATAACTAATGTTTTAACATGTTGATGTGCTTTTACCTTCTGCCATTTCTGGCTTTTAGTAGGAGGGAAATGGAGCAGCTGCCCAGGCCCCCTCTGCCCCTCCAGGTTCAAGTGTCCTGACTGGAGTCCGCTTTCCAGAGCAGCCCTTCGGCCGGTGGTGGGGGCTGCTGGACAGGCTGGTGAGAACGACCTCCCTGGGAAAAGAATGCAGCACCCGCAGTTCCTCCTGCAGGCTTTCGGTTAGGGACACTGGGCCATCGGTGTGCCAGCTGCTGGAGGTGCCGACAGGCCCTGTGCTCTCGGGGTTGCCGTGCTGCCTCTTCTCAGCTGCTGCCTCTGCACAAAGACCAGACCCAAAGCTACTTCAGGTTTAGCTGGATAAAGCCTGTCTCCGCTGTGCCTGGTGCCAGCGAATTGTTTGCTGCCCCAGTAACAGGCAGCGGTGCAGCTGCTGCTGAGGGGCATGTGGCTGGTGGCACAGGGACCCTCGGTTTGGCAACTTCCCTGGCAGGTTGAGGCACTTCACCGGACGAGGCCTGGGAACCCCATGGGCTTTTAGTAAAGGCTCTTCCATTTGCAAGGCAGCAGCACCCGGTGCTGCGTGTAGACCATGCTCAGAGTCTTGCTTGCTGCTGCTGCTGGAGTCTACCTTGTGCCTGACGGGTTACCGCAGGGAGGGACCTTGTCAGCTGAAATTTCACAGCTGGTTTCTGAGGGCTGACATGCAGCACGCATGCCCCTGTGGGGAGGTGCAGGGCTTGGAGCGGATGGCTGCTGGGCTGAGCCCCTTTCTGCCTCTTACATTCCAGGGTGCTGTGGTGGGTGTCCTGGGCTGCTCCCTGCACTGTGCTGGACAGTCCTTCCATGCCGGTTCTGTTGCCCTCTCTGTTGTAAACTTTTGTTGCTGATCATTAATAAAATGTTGAAAAGTTGTGCCTTGGTCTCTTTTGGGTCTCAAGTCTAGGTAGCAGACAGGGGCCAGGCTCCTGGCTGGAGACTTTCTACAGCAGCTTTTCCCTGGAGCTCTGATGGGAGCCAGGGAGAGGCTTCTCTGGCCTGAGAATGAGCTCGTTGACCTCGGGCAGCCCAGCCTGAGCTCCAGGGCTTGTTGGGTTTCTTCTGGCACAGGGGTTAGGGA